CATTCTTATTTTCGATCTTATGCATTTTGCATTTTCACTTTCGGCATTTTGAGTTTTCAACCAAAGGCCTACCTGCTAATCAGTAAAAACACAGTTGCTCAGAAAACTATTTTTTTACTCAGTAAGACTGACACCCCACTCTTCTCAGAATTTATATCAAAAATTCTGAACCAAATAAATAATAAATACGTACTCTTATGATCATTCTAGCTGGAATACAACGAAATTCATTTGCTGGTAATAATATATAAATTAGAACGTCCGCTATGTCTTGTAAAAATTCTGAAAGTAAAATATTCATTCATATGTCTCTGTTTTATTTTTATATTATCAATTTTACCTTTTTCTCTCTCTTTATTTGTGCATACTTCATCTCGACATATTCCACGTTCATATTCAGCTTCGAGATCGAAAAATACCGATTTAATATCGGCTGTAATAGAGCCAAAAAGGAAAAACTTCTACATACAGATAGAAAAATGAGTACTAATCACTTTACCATTCGTTGTACGTTCCATTTTAATTCGTTCTTTTGCATTTCGATATAATCTCACATGTGTAGCAAAACTATCGACAACAGTACCTGTTAAAAAGTCAAGCCAATCAATTTTACGCATTCTAAATAAAAACAATAATCCTTTATAAGATTGTTTTTTATTTTCACTCATTTATTCTAACCTATCTGATAAATGTTGAATTGTTTTATACATCCCATTTCGTACATCGTTCATAAAATCTTCATCTGAACTTATCTGTGTTTTATACCAAATTTCAATGTAATCGCGAAGAAAATAGTCAATCAACTTGAAAACGAATATAGTAAAAAGCAAAAATATGAGCAATTATCGTTATTTTCGAACCTCATATAATGATTCATCTATAACACGTGAGTTTGTTAATGGTGTACGATCAATATGTGTATTCGTTGAACGCGATAACGATGACTTTGTTTCAATATCATCTATCTGTTGTGAGAAGAAAAAAACAGATTATACACGTCCACTGAAACCAAACATTCAATATCATCTTAGTTAAGCTAAGTGACTCTCCAGATAATGTGAACATAACTCTGTCTCTCTTAGCTATATGACTAGAGTGACAGACTGATATCACAAGAACAATTAATCTGCCTTTCTTACATGTGTTAGAAGTCTTCGTCGTGTGTATGATGATGAGGCAGCTATTGGTGATCGATTCTGAAAGCATTTTCGTCGATTAAGAACTGTATAAAGTAAAAACCTAAAACATAATCAAAACAATTAATTTATAAACTAATGTTAGTTCAGGATGACATACCCACTTAAAAAAGCAACTAGAAATATTAGCCAATAAATTGCTCTGCTAATACCAATAATTCCAATTGCTAATGATGTACCGGCGATAATTAAATGTGTTTCTACCATTGATGTTCTCCATTAATATTAAACATTTAACGGAAACAAATTTTAAAAAAAAGAGAAAAAATACGTCTAAAAAACATAAATAATAATGATTACGTGTCTTATAAATCGTACTAATTGATTGCAAAAAAGAAAAAAATCTAAATTCAATCAGCGATTAGAAGAGTAAGAGGATTAATCTGAATCTTAAATGATTTAAAATAAAAGAGTTCAAAATTACTTTGTTTGTCAAAAAGGAACATTAACTTTATTCTTCAGCTAAAGAAGAGACATTTTTGTAATCTTAACAAAAGTGAAATTTATCTTAAATTCTTTTGATTACAATGATTTCTGGTAACGCTTTAAAATCAAACTGATGAGTTTCACCATTTGATGGTTAGATGTCAAAATAAGATGACAATTTTGAGAGAGAACTTCTCTTCGACATTCTTTGACTTGTAGTGTGATAACTTGTGTTAAATAAATAACCAGATAAGAAAAAAACAGAAAAAACAATAATTAATTAATAAAAAAGATAAATAAATAACAACACAAATAAGTAAACAAATGAAGCATAGTGGAATATGGGCAAGAAAAACTCGGAATGCTTTGAAAGAATCGAGTGATTATGAAAACTTGTTTTAGTCAGTGCTTGTAGACAACCAAAAAAGCAGATTGTATTGTTCAATGGAAAAAACTCACTGGCAAGAGAATAAATAGGAACACGCTTGGAATGGTAATAAATTTCGAAAAATTGTATAACTATGAAGTATTGATGACAGAGAGAGAATTAGAAAACAAAGAGATAGTTGAGAAATGAGAGCAGAACTAGAAACATGATGATCAAACTTAGGAGAAATCACACGAGGAGAAAATTAATTTACAAAAAAGCCCAACAGCAAGAGAAAACGAACTATAGTATAGACACAACAAGAATCAAGTTTTGAAAGGATACAAGAGAGATACAGTCAATACAGAGAAAAGAGATTTTGAAGTTGAACAATTCAAAATAAAATTTATACAATCTTGAGAGGAGCAAAAAGCAGAAGGATCAAAGAGATGGGAACAAACATCTTTAGCAAAGGTAGAAATTTTACAATTAGATGGAAAAGACAGAGACGGATCATTAATAAAGATAAAAAAAGGAAGTCAACTACAGAAGGAACAAAAGAAAACTAGTCATTCACACACATTAAGAAAGATTAAAAAGGTACGAAGAGAAACCACTCACATCACACGGCATAATTGTTCAAACAAGAAACAATATGAACCTAATAAGATATCTGCTCTCATGCAAGATATATGTTACTTGACTTGAACAAAACAAAACAGATATGATACAGTCAGAGGAAGAAAACATTTTAAAAATTGACATTTGTCATATATGACATCGAGCAAACGATATGCACGAAGGGATATTTCGTTATTTGGTACGTTTCTAATGAAAAACAGAATCAAATACTTAGGAAAGTAACGTACTTTATACTAGGAATTTCAGAAACTAGAAATAGTTAAAGAGACAAACGACAGAATATCAAGAGCTAAACAGTTATAAGCCAAAAAGCAAATTGTTTACTCATAAAAAAAGATGTTCGGATAAATTCTTAATAAAAATTATCGATCAAATGTTCAAAAATTCTGCTAAAATCAGAAAAAGAGAAACAGGAGCAAAATTTGAAATATTGACAAGAAAG